CCTTACATTTGAATTTAAAAACATTTTGATAACTGTATATTGACATCATTGTTTTCCTTTGTAATTCCATGCATCTTCTTTTACAGTTTTTACTTTTATTTATTTCTTAATCCTCACCTGAGGATATGTTTTCTGTTTATGAGAGAGAGAGAGAGAAAGAGAGGAAGGGAGAGGGAGAGAGAAACATTGATGTGAGAGAGAAACATCGATTGGCTGCCTCCTGCTTGCACCCAACGAGGAATCGAACTCACAGCCTGGGCCTGTGCCCTGACTAGGAATCAAATCCACAACCCTGCGGTGCACAGGATGCCGCCAACCAGCAGAGCCACACCGGGCAGGGCTTATTTTACGGTGTTTTAAAATATATATTCTTATTGCTTTCAGAGAGGAAGGGAGAAGGAGAGAGAGTCAGAAACATCAATGATGAGAGAGAATCATTGATCAGCTGCCTCCTGCATGCCCCACACTGGGGATTGAGCCTGCAACCTGGGCATGTGCCCTTGACCTGAATCAAACCCAGGACCCTTCGTCCGCAGGCCGACACTCTATCCACTGAGCAACATTGGCTAGGGCTATTTTACGGTTTTGAAAACAGTGCACACACATTGCAGACACCCTGGCACACACATGGTGGAAACCAGTCCAGGAAGTCATGAGGGCAGGAAGGCCTGGGCGCCAAGCACGGGGGCCACTTCTAGAGGGGCTGCGGGGGGAGGTGTCCACTTGAATCCTGTCCACTTCCTGCGACAGGATTCAGGGGTGACTGCCACTCAATGCCAACAAAGTGGGCGTCAGGGGAGGCGGCAGCCATGTCCAAATCACAAAGGGCGTGCGAAGAGAGTGGAGGACACAGCTAGACACGGAGAGAGGGAGAGGGGCATCTGCCCTGGAAGTGGGGCAGGTGAGAGGGAGACAGGCCATGGGGCTGGGGGGGAGGGCAAGGTCCAGCCTGCAGAGGGAGGCAGGGGCAGGGCCTGAGAGGGAGGGTGTGGGGCTCGGGAAAGCCAAGGCTGGGGCCTGCCTGGCCTAACTCACCTGTCACGGCTCCCACGGAGAGCGGGCCCAGGCGCTGCCCGCTGTGGAGCCCATAGACTAGCATCCTGTATCCGCGAGCGGGCTCCAGGCCGGGGACGGTGGCCTCACGCTGGTCTGCGGCCACAGGCACCACCTGGAGCTGCCCATCGCTGTTCTCGTACTGGACCACGAAGGAGTCAAACTGGCCCTCGGGGACGGTCCACGCGAGGCCCACGGAGCGGGGGGTCACGCCGGTCACAGTCAGCTCCCCCAGGCGCGGCCCCGAGGGCGGCTCGGTGGCTGCAGGAGCGGCTCCCGGTGCTGGGGCTGAGAGAGTGGAGGCAGCTGTTAGGAAAGCCCTCCTCCCCCGGGTGGTGATCACGCCCACTGTCCTCATGGTGCCCGCGAGGTGGTCGGAATCAAACTCTGATGGGCCCGTTCTTCCAGGCCCTGGGGCTTTGGGGGGCTGCCCGCCATCACTGAGACCTGGGAGAGGCCTTAGCGGCCCTGCCGCCTGGACTGTTTGCTCAGCACCCTCCGCCGTCCACACCGAGCCCAGCCCCTCAGCTGCT